TCAGGTATGACTGCGCCTATGGTGTCATTACATGGCAGAGCCCCAGGAGGAGCCTTGTGCTCAGTTGTGTGCAGAGATCAAAGCACTGCTCAGCTGATGGACTAGGAGCTCTGGTCAACTGCAGCACCTGAAATCTTTCCCTGTGCTTCCTCTGTTCAGGTACTAAAACGTCAAGGCTACGATGAGGGCTGTGATATCTGGAGTTTAGGGATACTCCTCTATACGATGCTGGCAGGGTAAGTACCCCCATCTCTTGTCATACAGGTACAGTAAGCAGCGTGATTGCGGTCTCTCGTTATATTGCTGCAGTGAGTGATGTGTGTCCTTGTTTGTCATTTTAATTCAGGCTGAACTTTTGGTTACTTGGCTGTGAGCAACCTGCAAACTCCTTTTCCCTTTCAGGTACACACCATTTGCCAACGGGCCCAATGACACTCCCGAAGAGATCCTGGTGCGAATAGGAGGCGGGAAGTTCTCTCTCAAAGGGGGAAACTGGGATACAATATCTGATACGGCCAAGGTAGGGTTTAATGCCTGAATAGAGATGACCAGCTCCGGTCAAGAATGGGCAGCCGTAGTTTCCCTGCCATTAGTCACTGAGGCTCAGCTACATCCCCCAAGCATCTCCTGGGCACATCTACTTGGGCAAGCTGTTGTCATTTCCCTCAGATGACGAGTGTCTTTCAATCTGGCCTCTGACAGAGCTGAACCCCACCCCCAGTGGATCTCTCTCCTCTTTTTGAAGTCTTATTCCATGAATGTTTTCTCCAGGATCTGGTATCCAAGATGCTTCATGTTGATCCTCACCAGCGCCTGACTGCCAAGCAAGTCCTGCAGCACCCGTGGATAACACAGAAGGACAGCTTACCCCGGAGCCAACTGACTCACCAGGATGTGCAGCTCGTAAAGGTACCGACTGTGGCATGGTGCTGCTACTCTGGTGCTTTCAGCAGCCTTTTCTGGTCAAAGCAGAGCTCAGGCTTGGGGGCGGTGATCAAGTTTTACCTGCTGGAAGGGCATGAGGCGGATACGGGGGAGACGTGCAAGGCAAAAACCCGGACTTTGCACGAAAGCTGTTAGGAGACTTCTGATAACCACTCTCAAAAGGGCTGAACTCCTTGTCTATGGGAGAGCCTGTCCTGCAGTCATTTTCAGTAGGCTGAAATACCTGCATGCCTCTCTGTGGCTGTGTGGGGTCCCATGACACACCAGTGACCTCTCTTCATCCTTCTCTCCAAGGGAGCAATGGCTGCAACATATTCTGCATTGAACAGCGCCAAGCCAAGCCCCCAGCTGAAGCCCATTGAGTCATCCATTCTGGCACAGAGGCGGGTGAAGAAGCTTCCCTCCACCACACTGTAATAAGAGCCTGGGGCAGTCCAGGGCCATGTTTCACAATGCCCTTGTTCCTGATATTTGCACAAGCTACTGAAGACTGGGAGTGGAAAGGCAGGAGTCAAATAAGGCCTGGAAAGAAGCCCATCTGTGGACTCTCTACCCAACCCATGTCAAGGCCAAGTGCCTTTCTACTTCTGAAAGACCAGCTCCTCTTGTGAGCACGTCTTTACCTATAGGAGTTCACTGTAAAGCCTTTTGTTTAAGGGGGGAAACAAGTGTAAATTGATGCTGTTTTTAAAAGGATTCTTTTGTGTATATGAGAAGTAGAAAGTACGATCCATGTAACGTTGGCACTAACGAGCAGCCCTGGTTCTTGCCTCCTGATGAAGAACCAGACCTTGTTCCTAGATGCATCGCCAGGGCTGGCACAGCTGCAAGTCTGTCTGTCTGTTCTCAGCTTCTTGTACCCGTAGTTCTTTCCAGCGCGACCTGTTGTCATAACCACTCCCCATCTTCACCCTCCTCCCCCTTTGTGTAGAGAGTGTAAAGCCAGTTCTTGAATTCCAGCCTTGTCTTGGTTTGTTTTGACTTTCTTCCCTTCTCCTCACCAAGCTACGTGACTGCTGTACAAGTGTGTAAGAGTCTGACTTGTGATCAACACCTATCTGGATGTTAAGGCGTCGAGGATATCTGTAGAGTCTGGGTCATTCCTCCATCCACATGTCTATTCCACCATCACCTCCAGCATTTGTTCAGGATTTTGTCTGCTGAGCAGATGTGGATGTGGCAGAACTCTTCTCTGTAGCAGTGTCGAGGTTCTGGGTTGGTGTTGGTTTCTCTCCCAAATGTTTTGCTTTGCATCACCGATTCTTGCAAAGAGGAAAAAGAAAACCTAATATTTTTCTTATTTAACTTTGTTCTGTGGCTTAACTCAGGGTTTCTTTCTGAACTGTACAATAAACTTGTAATTCAGTTGAAGTTTATTTTGCTGACTAAACATTAACTTATTCTGTCACTAAAGGAATGAACAAGACTAGCCCCTTCCCCTCTTAAATGGGGATACTGGGGGTTTTCCCCTCCCTTTTGAAACTTACACAAAGCTTTTCATCTCTGGAAGTGCATCTCCTCTCCATCGATCTCTCTGTGACGAGATAACAATACATTTCTGCTCGCAACACTGCTTCTGCCACCTTCCCTCTGCAACCAAAAAAATTAGGACTGAGCCACACAAAAGGTGATGGATGGAATATGGCCTACAGAGGGGAACTCTTATTTACAAATTAGATCACAAGCCTGATTTGAAATGAGCCCTCGGCAGGGATTCCTAGCTTTGTTCATTTGAGCCTCTGAGACGTTCCGATACAAATAAGAAATGTCTGGGATCCCAGCAGCCAGCTCCTCTCCAATGAGGGTAGAAGGGAAGTCTTGAAACAGCAGATGTCCAAGGATATGGCCACTATCAAAAAGGGAGCAAGTCTCTCCTAGTGAGTGATTATCAGGTATACTGGCTGCTCCCATGAAAATAAGGAAACCTCTTACTTCAGTTTGTCCTAGTAGACTTTAACAGATCCCTCCAGATTTTTAAATTCCCTTGCAGAAATACACCACTGCAATTTTCTTCTCCCTTCTTGATTCCTCCATCACTTACTATTGTTTTCAGCTAGTTAAAACCTGAGACACTTTAATTAAATGGTGAAAACAGCTGCATTTCCCTGGTCCCCAGTCTCTCTTCTCTTTATAGCAGTGATTCTCAACCAGGAAGCTGTGGCACAATGGGGTGCCATGAGATCCTTTTAGGGGACTTGCACAATGTCAGCACTGTTAATTATGCAAACACCTCCACAGGATTCAGAAGGTAAACCCAGAGACTTCAAATAGACCTCAGCCCTTTAGATGCCTTTCTGAGGTTTTTGCAACAGAAGAGTCGCTCTGTTATTTTTCCATAGTCACAAAACAAGCGACAGTCAGGAGCTGGCATTTTCCGAGGGGGCCTGGTGTCTAAAAAGGTTGAATATCTCTGCTTTGAGGAAACACGGAGTGCACTTTCCATAGTGACGGATTTGCCTTAAGTTGTGCAGTTCCTGTTGGTGTCCCATGGCCCCACCACAGGCTGGTATGAAGCTTAGCTGCTGAGCTGATTTCTCCTTATGGTTGCCAACAAATGTGTCGGTGAAGACCTGCCTCCCTCCAGAATACCGACTAGCAGTTATGGCAGAGCAATGATTCACTATTGTTTAACTGGGCCCTGTATCAAAATCTGGAAGCAAGGAGTTTTAATCCGGAATAAATGACTTTTTTTTCCAGAATAGCGTCCACGCCAGGTTGTGACAAGGTAATTATAATACCCATCAGTTTCCTCCTGGGGACAGAGTTTGGTGACTCTCTTGGGACAGCAGAAACTGAGGTCCTGAAGTCCCTGGAGTTATGACCACTTACAGGTCTCTCTTTGGCCTTGATCTACTCCTTTGTATGTAATGGATGCTTTAAACTGTCTTTTGCTCCAGCTCTGGCGCACACTATCTGCCAAGCTCCAAGCTAAAGAGGCTGCCTTATGTTTACAACAACTTGCAGAAACTTTGATGTCAATTCAAATGTCCTGAAGCCAGGGACCGTCCCCCCTGCACTCTTGATGTCTCTCTCAAATTATCTATGTCCTATACGACATTTTTGCCCTCAGGGAGCCGATCACAATTATTTTGGAACGCAGCAATGCTCCCTTCTGATTTGGAGTTGAACTATTAGGTGCTAACCAGGCTGGCTGTGTTGTGAAGTGCTGCTCTTATTCACCAGCCCAGAACAATATGGGAGGTTTGCGTCACTCTAGAAACCAAATGTTGGGGTAAGAGCCTAGAGCACGGAGAGAGATGCGAGGAGCCTGCCATAGCGTTCCCCAGCAGTGTTGCTAGCCATTGTCTGCCGTGCTGGGCATTGAAATCCTCAGTACTAATTTTGACTCTAACTGCCTTGTTAACTTTCTTTTGGCTACTTCTTTACATCTACGACCCCATGCAATTAAACTGTTTATATACACGCTGTCACACTCAGCACAAGACTTTGCTTTGCTCAGCCAGCGAGGGAGAGAGGAAGACCTGTGCTTCAGGGCATGCCTGGTCAGCAAGCTGTCCACGGTTGGGAAGAAATTGTTATTTATATTCTGTGGATTAGTTTGAAACTGCTCTACAGCTTGTTGCTCATGCCAGCTTCTTCAGGATCTGATGCTGGTCCCAGGCGAACAGTAAGTTTCCTAAATGTGAGGGGTATGCACACCCTCACCGAGTCATCCCGGCCGCAGGACAGTTCATGCAGTTCAAGCTCTCGCCTGTTTTGTGTTTGCACAGCTGACCTTCTAGTTCTCTGTCCTCCAAGATGCTTTTAAAGATGGATGCATTCATTTCTCTGTTTCCTCTCTCCACCCTGGTACCTGCATGCACTTTTTGGGGAATGGTAAGTTCCTGTCTGTCTTTCGTGTGTATCATCACCCTCTAGCGGCCAAAACAGCCAGCCTTTACCATCCTTTTAGAGGCTAACAGTAGTTCTCGGCCTTTTTTGGACTCGCGGCACCCCTCCATAACTCTGCCGTGCGCCCTAGTTGAGAATCACTGGATGAACCTGCTTCAAGTTCAAGGAGAAGAGGCTTTGTTTGACACTATTGCTGACCTGTGAGGTTCAGCAGCTTGATCCTTTCCTTTTATAAAAGCATCTTACTTTGCAGATTTTCTCTCTTCCTCTTAATTTTTTTGTTTCAGTAAATTCTGAACAAAAACCTCCCTTCACCCTTCAGAAGCTGGAGGCCTGTTGCCAAGACCATTTCCTGCTCTGGTTATTAAAATATTATGGTGTTGTGGTCCTAGAGCTTAGCTAACTTGTTGCGTTGTTCTTTTGGAAAATAGCTGCGCTTGCACCAACTTCATTCTGTGAAGAGCCTTCCTTTGACTAACAGGCTGGTCTAGAGACCTGGGGAAAATGCACAGACATGGAAACAGCTCAGTTTCGTAGAGCGGGTGCAGCGCTGGTGTTGGCAGCTGATCATTTATAACTGAAGAGATGCTGACTTTTTTGTCATTATAAAATTTCCAGTGGTAAGTGGCTGGATGGTGGGAAGTGGGAGAAGTAATTCTGGGCAGAGAGGGTTGTGTGCTAGGGACAGGTGAGCCGTCTCCCTTTTGCTGCTTGTTTTCAGACTTGAACACTGGGGTGGTGGTGAGGAGCAGAAGGGGCAGGTCCTTGGTGGGGGGGAAGTGGGGAGAACATGTAGCTGGAGTCCCTGGAAACCAGACTTCAATTTTTCTTGTAAAGTTTATTTTCATGCTTTTTTATCATCTGGGTCAAGGCAGGAGAGAAGGCCAATATCCCCATCTTAGGCCTACCAATGTAGAGTTGTTCCTGGCCTCAGGCTGTGTCCTTGAGGTCTCTTCCAGCCTTACTTTTCTATGCGTCTACGAGTCTATCATGTCAATGCTTTTATACTCAAAATATTGTTTCATATGGACTTTAGAAAGGAATCTATCCTTTTAGCTACCACAGACCTCTCCTCCCTACACTATGATACCTCTTCTCTTTAGCTAACCAAGATCGCTCAAGTGTGTTTTAACATCTCGAATGTCCAGGGTCTGGAACAGACTCTCCCCAGAGGTGGTCCAGTCACCTACTCAGGATATCTTCAAAAAACATCTGGACTCTCCCCTTGCTGGGGTCATCTGACCCCAGCAGTCTTTCCTGCCCAAGTGCAGGGGGGCTGGACTTGATAATCTCGAGAGATCCTTTCCAGACCCTAACATCTATGGACCCATGAATCTATGAACCTTACCACAGCAGGACATCAGCCACTGAGATCCCCCCGCTTCACCTGTGCCAGGGGTGTTATGCCTTGTGGTTGTGTCAGGGTTGGCTGTGTAGTTTTGCTAAGAGATTAGATGGTGGATTTGCATGGGGTGGTTTGACAAGGGATGATCTTGCTTCATGCAAGGGGATAGACTAGATGACTTCTGGAGGTCCCTTCCCTTCCAACTTTTCTATGACTTGAAAGCTGGAGTTGCAAGGTCAGGCAGTTGAGAGAGGTGATGAGATGGGATGGCAGAGGAGGAATAACTCTTACAAGTATGAACTGGCTAATTTTCCAGACAAAGTGTGGAGCTCCCTGCAGTTCTGTGAGACTTCCCAGAACAGCTCTCTGCTGCTTACGGCATGCAGTTTCAGGAAGACAAGTTTGCTTTTTTGAACTTTCTCTTGAACTACCCCTGCCCCACCAGTCTTCTTATTGGAAATCAGCTCCGGCCCCAGGCGTGCTATAAATACTGTGGCTCCAGTCCTGGTGCTGCCTGTCCATCTCCTACAGCAACCCAGAGCAGGAATAGATGCCATATGTACAGATTTGAATTTCTGGGGAGCCACCCACCCCTTCAGCAGAACAGTGAGGCCACAACAAGCAGCTCGCCCATGAGGGCTAGGTTTGATGAGTTCATCTCAGCTGCAACCTACAGTAATTTGCAGTTGTGCCCGCAAGAGGGTGTGATGAGTCTGGCTGTTTGCTGTCTGACTGGCCTACAGAGCTAAAAATTTGGTGTGTGGCAGTTCCCTGAGAGATGTGACTAGCTTGGGAGCAGGTGATGTTTGTCAGACCTAAGCTTGGGGGTTCTCCCTGGAGGTACAAGTCAACCTGTCACTACCCCTACTTATAGGCCATCCACTTTCTCGGTCCTTCCCTCTATCAAAAGGGGGCCTGCCCAGCTGTTGCACACACTTATGCTGCCACCATAAAAGATGAACTGCAGTGTGTGTGTCTTGGGGCCCGATGTGAAGTTCCCTCATAATCAGGTTGTGCAACCTCCTTGCTGACTTACCTCCTCCAATTAGACTGTCGTGGAGGCATTTGTGCGGCTTCTACTGGAAACCCCAGGACACATATCCTGTCAGCTTTTCGGAGCATTCAATCCTGCATTTTTGCATGGTGCCTCGCATACTAACCCTCCTAATCCTGTCAGCA